TTTTCGAAAAAGGATAATATACATGTTATATATAATCGTGTGAAGCGTTTGTTTTTATATTGAGTGTTTTGAATTTTATAATATTTTTAATGTAATTTAATGCTATTAAAATTTTCTACATAAATTTTTATTTATTTAAAACTATTATTAAACAATATATAATGAATTAAATATTTTATCATTTATAATTAAATTAACCACTAACCACGTAGAACATGGAAAAGCCTAGTGACAGGTAGTAAGATATATAGTCTTGTAACATATTCAAACAGGTTTGGTTGTGGTCTAGTATAAGAAATATTCTTCTAACAAGATATAGACTCTATATGGTTCATGAGAAATACAATTGTTTTTCAAGGTGTAATTTGGAGTATTGTTTAGTAGTTGAGGCAGAACTCTGAACAGTATACCATGCATGGTCTGAAGATTGCACGAGATAGGAATCTTGGTGGTGCTATCCTCGTGAAAACAGACTCTACCTTAGTAGTAAATTAAGTTCTTGAATGGGATGTTTCAAGCGTTACTCATGCTATTATTTAGTAAATAGAGTGATAAATGTGGCTAGAAATAATCATGAAATATCATCTTACCATGTCTATAGAGAACCAAACTAAATTGTAGATAGTTTGATAAAATGGGGTTGCTCATTATCGACTAGTGCGCAAGTTTTTAATAATCCACCTTCCTGGATTCATTTCCTTTTATTTGTTGATTTATGAGTTGTTTCTTTCTTTAATGGTTTTTGGACTTGTTAGCTACTTGTATACATAAAAAAAAAAAGCATGTATGACATATATATTATTAAAAATCTGTTTAGATACAAGTTAGAAATGTTTTTAACATTTATTTTTTACTGAAAATAAAAAATATTTTTTAATAAAAAAAACCTTTTAAATTATTCAAATAGACTCTAACCTATATGAAATAAAATCCTATGTGACAGAAACAAATTAATTAACCACTATCACCATGAATCAACATTTGCATAACTGCACTAAGATCTTCAAGTTTCTACTATAATTTGGTATCTAAATCTTTCGAATAGTCATATATCTTAAATCTGTCTTAAATTCCTGATTTATTTTTTATATTTTAGTAAGAACAAGGATTTGTAAATTTTAGGTAGAAAATAATTATAGCATGAACTGAATTATATATAAGAACTACAAATAGTAAGAAAAAGTGTACTTAATAAGAGAAGGTTCACTTAAAAATAATAATAACTTTAAACAATCATAAACCAACTGAACAAGGGCACTTGCTATTGTGGGTAAAAGATTAATAAATGGTCCCATCCTCACCACAAGTGGCGAGATGCCAAAACACTAGGGCTCGACGGAGGTTAAGGGTTTTATTTAGGGTTCAGGTGTGTGTGTGTGTGCATTTGTAAAACGTAAACAAGTTAAACACAGTTTCCTGTCAATTATTTGCCTAAAATGTTTTAAATAGAGTGAGAGAGAAAAAAAACCTAGAGAGAAGAGAAAAATGTTTAAATTTTAATTAAAGAAAAACCAGAATAAGCTCAGGCCGTATATTCTCAATACTTTAATCTAGTTTTCCTTTTATGTGTAAATCATAACCATTAGCCTATACGAAATCCACAAAGGGAAATCATATGCATCTAATTAATTTTTGTTGATTTAAATAATCACACGATGAAATTTTATTAAAAATTAGAAAAGAAAAAACTTTTATTTTTTATTTTTAACTCATGTTTTGTCTTTCTTATGATCTTTCCTTTTTCATTAATTAAAAATATATCATTAATTCATTATTTATATTTTCTCTCCCCTCTATTTTCTTTTCTAGCTAGCTCTGATGTGAACACATCATAATTCATATTCAAATTCATTTGGTTTTGTAATTAATATTTTATATTTCATGGTATATAGAATAATGGTTTCGTATTCAAAGAGTGTGGAAGATATATAATGTTAAATTAATTGTTAAACCTAGTCAAATTAAATAAATTTAGTCTTTTACATATTAAATCAAACTTTAAATTTGTGTTTCTGAAGACTGAAGAGTGAAGGAAACATAGTTGCTAATAAGCCAGTGAGACTGAGGACGACTATTAATCTACCTAATCTCAATATCTTTCTTACATCCAACTTGTATTGCTTCTCATATTTCCTTTGAAATGATGAATTGACTTTGTTTCAATAAAAAAAGGCTTAATCTTTATCATAAAAACACAAATAAAAAAAAATCGCTATAAATTATTATTTCACATACTTCTGTTTATTAATCATGATAAATATGTAAAATTTAATGATAAAATATTTAAATAATATTACAATTTTATTCATTTATTATACCAGTTTTTTTTAGATACACGAATGTAGATAAACATTGAACTTTATTTTATATATTATTTTTTAAATAAAATAAAATATATATTAAATGGGTGAGTTGGATATTCATTCATAAAAAATGATTACTTTTTTTAAGAAGATAAAAATTTAAAAAGAATTAATAGATGGACTAAACGATTTTTTTTATCAAATAAGTTATGGATAAATTATTTTTTAACACATTTTTAATATATCATAAATGAATTAATGCTTTATTTTAAAGTCATCCAATATAGTTCAATCTTAAATTTATTCCATTCATCAATTTGATTTGGTTGATACTTCTAAATATTATTAAGTTGTAAATAATTTTGTGAGTTCTTAATGTTGTTTCTTTGTACTTCGTATAGACCAATGCTTATGATTTACATATAAAGGGAAAACTAGTTTACGGCTTATAGAATATAATATATATATATATATATATATATATATATATATATATA